AAGATTCCCATCCTTGGGCAACGCTGGCCCTCTCCCCCCCCAGGATCCCCCCAAAACGCTCCCACGCCCGGACCACCTATGAGCTGAAAGCACTGCTCCCCACTTCTCCTGTCACCGCTGCGAACGGGGAATCATGATGCCCCCATTAACGGCCCCCATAAACAGCAGAACCCCGCGGAGCTCCCTGCACCCCAACATCCCCTGCCACCCCCTCGTGCCTCACCAGCCACCATGTCCACATCTCACCAAAAAACGCTTTGGGGGACCTGGGGACTGCCTGGATGGGGATGTCGCCCTCCTGGCCTCACCTTGACGTCCTGCTCGAGGCTGTGGATGAGCTCGCCGTCCACCTGGCCCGTCTGTGCCACGCGCAGGCTGCGGCGCTCGGCCTTGCGCAGCCGGTACTGCAGGATGCGGGAGCTTGCTGGCCTGGTCCAGCTGCTGCCGGAGCTCCTGCAGCTGGTAGACGTCCTCCTCCATGTAGACATCCCTCATCTCCAGCATCTCGGCGCGCAGCTCCTCGATCTCATCCTGCGGGGAGATGCGTGTTAGAGGCGACAGACTCCGCAGCTTGCTCTCCCCTCTTTTGACCCTGGGACACCTCCCCACCATGGGTCCCCTGCCCTCCTCCATCCCATGAGCCATTTTCACAGACCTTCAACCCCTCGGATCAAGCCCCATACTTGCAGGTAAAGGGCTCAGAGCCAGCTGGGCACCATCACCCACCGGCGAGCCAGCCACCCGGCGGGGGGGGAAGAGCCAACATGGGCGCCTATAAATATTTGCAGTAAAAGAAAGAGGAAGGTGGGGGAGGGAGAGGAGCTGCAGGAGCAGCACAGGCGGCAGCCACGGCGAGAAAAACGTAGGTTGTCTTTGGAAAAGATGTCTCAGGGAGGCAGGCGAGGGAAGGAGGAGATGGCAGGCGAGGACAGGGGAGGCAATGTGGGGACATGAGTGAGATGCCACCAGCGCTGGGGACCAGAAGTTGCCCCTCGATTTGCCACCAAGCAGCAATTGCTGTGCTGGGTCCCCCTTCTACCCCTTCCTGGTCTCTCACGGTGACAAACCTCTCCCAGCCCAGCAGAGCCTCCGTTGCGGGGCTGCGGCGTCGCTGTCGCAGCAGGGCCAGGGGTGACGTCCCGCTGGCACCAGTGCTGACCCAAAGCCTCCTCCGGGTCTGCGGCACACAGCCGCTGTGGGACCCCCTGTAACAGCCGCAGCCCCAGTGCCACTTCCCCGTCCAGCACAGAGCTATGGTCACTGGGGATGCTCAAGGACTGTCCCCTCCGGTCCCTGGGGACCCACACAGGCTTGCGCTGCCCAAAGCTCTTTTCAGGTCTCCATGAACATGGTCTCAACCCAAATCCTCCAAGCAAACGCTCCAGCTGTCACACTGGCTGTTCTCCTCCTTGACAAGACCCGGTGGACCCAGCACACTCCTGGGAAGGGATCAAGCATCTGCTTTCCTGCCAAAAAAACCCCGCCACTAAACACCCCCTGTCACTGCCAAACGCAATTGCCACTTGAGAAGTGAGGGGCTCACGCTGCCGCGTTGCGCTGCAGCATGGCCCGGGAAGGGACAAGATGAGGATCCAGCACAGACAGCGGGGATGCACAGCCCCGATTCACCCCAGGCAAAGGGGGACAGTACCCCGCTGCTCCCGACACTGCCCGTGACAGTGACCTACAGCCTGAGACAGCAGCACCGCGCTGGCTCTGCCAGGCTCTGGCACGCTCGCTGCCGTGCTCGCCCGGCAGAGACAAAGCCCCAGCTGCAAGAATTCCCCCAAAAGGCAAAGCCGAGCCCAGGGAGGGGGGGCGGCAGCTGTGGGGACAAGTCATCACAGTCGCTCACTGTTGGCTTTAAACACTACGTGACAAATAAGGAACATCAATTAGACAATCCTGGATTATCTCCTGGCCCAGGCTGCCGGAGCCCAGCGGCACTGCAGCCACCAGGGTCCTGCCACCCTCCACCACTCTGCTTCTTGCCGAGGGGTCTTGAGAACAACAGCAGGGCAGAAACAGCCCTGAGGCACCGAGATGGGCAGCGGGGTATCCCAGGGACACCCGGCCGGGCTGCTCCAGGGACAGCCGGAGACCATCCCATGAAGTGGCATCACTGCAGGCACGTTTCAGAAACCCCCCCCGGACAGCTCAGGTGTGAGACTTCCCAGCGACAAACTGCACATGCCGGCAGACAGCCCTGCGACGGCTGCAGTGACTTCCCAGGGACAAACTGCACGTGCCGGCAGACAGCCCTGCGACGGCTGCAGTGCACCCCAGGGCGAGGACCCCGATGGAAACCTACCACCAGCACTGCCCACCCCACCCTGCAGTGCCACCGCCCCAGGGACACCAGCAAAACCCCTGTAAGCCAAACCAGCCCGGGGAGCTGGTTTATGGGATCTATTCCTTGGGAGCTTTCATGGGAAAAATTGCATAATGCGTCGCAGGTGAGCAGTCGCTCTGCAACAGGATGGTGGAAAACAACCTTTCACCACCAAAGTCATGTGAATCGTGGCTTGAATATGATTGCAGAGGCATGCGGGGCTGTCTGCGTCCCAGTCCAGCGCTGACTGTACCGGCTCCTGTTTGCTGCGAGGCTTCCCCAGGCAGGAGCCAGGCAGGGCAGGGAGCAGGGACCTTGGAAAAAATCCAACCAAACCTTACATTTGCTGGAAGGAAGCCTGGGCTCACCGGGCTAAGAGCTCCTGGTTGTTTATACCTCGGGTTGTAGCAACCGTTATTTTAGGGGGAGGCCGTGTCTGGCGCAAGTCGCTGCCTGGGCAGAGCCCAGTGGTACAGCCTTGAGCTGCTCCTTCGCAGGATGCTCCCGTGGGGAGCGGGGCTGGGGGGTTTGCAGCACGGCTGGCACTGGGGGGGCCGGGAAGGCGGTGCCTCCCTTCGCTCCAGTGGCAGGAATTCACCCGCATCCTGCAACGCCAATAAACCCACGCAGTAGCCGCAGCCCAGCAGCCACACCGCCCCGCCC